ATCTGGAAACAAAACCTTTTGCTTTTTTTCTTAATTACTGAAGCATTAAACTGTAGAATGCATCAGCCACAGAGTGTGGGTGGATGTTACAGTTGAATTTTCAAAAGTTTTATCTCAAATTTGTGACCTCTACAGTGTGCTACTCCAAAGAAGTATTTTGAATGAAAAACCAAGAACACAGCATTTAGGAATACTAAAAGAACCTGATATGATTTCCTTTCAAAAAAAACTTGAAAACCTTCTTTGACAAGACAGCCGAACTTTGTTGCTGAGTGAAGAGGCAGCCTTGTACTAGATAGAAATGTTCGTGTGTAGTACTTTCATTTCTGTTGCATGAAATTTGGTGGAGCTGTGCTTGAAATGTTTTAGAGCAGGTGTTTTTTAACCGCTATCTCCAATTCAGTTTTGATTTGGCTCAAGTTTGTGTTTGGGCAATTACAGGTTTTCTGTCTGGCTTTCTTTCCAAATGATTTTAAGTGTCAGTAAAACGGTTTCCATGTTGTGCCTCACAATTGTGGAGCTGTGACTGACTCAGGGAGGGTTTGGGTGGATATTTTGAAAGATAAGTCAGAGCTTCTTTTTTTTTTTATTCATGTGGGCTGTTTGAGAAATGGGCACAGTATAATAACAGAAACAGCCTGGTACTGGTACAGTTTGTCATCACCTTTTTATTTGTGGGAGCAGACTTGTATGGAAAGTGGAAGTTGATGCAGTGACTACAGCTCTGCAGCTCTAGATTGCTTTTAAGTCTCACTGTGCACATTGTTTTGATTTTATTTCACTGCTGTCTTCAGCAATTTTTTTTTGAAGAGCTTGTGCTGTCCTTAATAAAGGTTCTGGTAAATCCATTTTTGTTATGTATGCAGGACCAGAAAACAGACAGTTAATTAATAATGACCTACATGTTCATTCCACTATTTATTAGACATAAAAACGAACTGAAAATAGAGTGAATAATAGACTTTATCGCCAAGACAGAAGTTAAGTTATTTTTTTCTTCTGTTCACATGCTTTATTAGACTTGCATGTTTTTGTGATGACTCCAGCTCATGTAGCTGGTGTTGTTATTGTAAATGTATTTGTTCAGCTTCAAGCATTCCCTTCATATTCAGGAAATATGCAAAAAATCTTCTGACCAAACAGTATATTGAAAAAAATTGGCATCATTCTGCTTCCAAGTTTGGAGACATGTTAATCAGTGTCTGTTGCGAATTAAAATATGCTGCTTAAACCAGATATCCATAATCACATGAATCACACTCCTCCATGCTTCAGGGTGGAAAATACACATGCAGGTATCAGGTTTTCACTAATCTAATATTTCTTTCCTGTCTTCCTTGGTCTTAGCACTTCTTTTCTACTTCTTGATAGTTTTGCATCTGTGCTTTTAGTTTCCTGAAATTTTCCAGATTAACTAATGTGCATGTATCTAATGTGCAAGCACTTATGGACTGTTTTTGTTTAAAATATGTCACACTTTTTCTTAAAAACTTTGTTTCCTGTGTGTTATTTCATAGTTTTTAATGTCTTTTGTTTTGTTCTACTCAAAATGAGTTGATATGTTCATCGTTGTTTCAACCCTGTTGTTGATTTGGCAGGTCTAAGATGCTTAGTTTGAACTTTTTGTGTGCATTATAGCAGTCCCTTTGAAGATTTAGTTGTGTGCGTGCTCAGATATTAAAGCGACCTGTCTCCAATCATATTTAAGGTCAGAAACTGAATTTGAACAAAGAACAATGGGGATGGAGTTCTGAATTTAAGAAAGAGACATGTTGTCATTCTAATCATTTGCTCCAAACAAAGCTTTAATTCCACAAGCAGACGCAAAGTGCACAAAGTGTGTAACCCCTGTCTCCTGTGCTGTTCGGCTTTGCCCATGCATATAAATGATTAAATAGCTTTAATGTTGTTTTCACTCGAGTTGCCTCATTAGATTTCTGCACAGGTCTTCACAAACATCTACAACCTGCTCTTTCATTCACCCCGCTGTGGGGTTTGTTGCACCTGTTAGACACTGCTGTCATTATAATTGGTCGATGGAGTTTGGGAACATCGTGTAATTCCAATCTTCCACTTGAATGGAGGTCCAGTCTGCCAGAGTAATTGACAGCACTGGTGTGGGTGTGCAGGGCATTCAAAAAGTATATCAGAAACTCTGTCCGTCCACTCACTTTACACAGGTGGCATTGCAGTCAGAAAAAGGAATATTTGCATTTTATAGTGATATCTGTAGAGGCCGTATAACCTAACTCAGTCGGAAAGCTCAATTTAAGGCTTAACGTTTCAAACAAGATTAACATTATGGGGTGAGATGGGGGATTAAGATGTTCCCAATACTCTCTGGTAATTTATCATTAGCCAAGGTTGAAGTCCACAATTTGAAAAACAGCATGTGAAAACAGATTTCGTTCTTTATTTTCTGTGAATTTGTAACTTGAAGATGTCACACTATGTAAACTCTTTGAATTACTGTGGTTTAGTAACAGTGCAAAGAGATAAATAGTAACTTGTAACACATTTGTAAATGATCAAACTTCTAATTACAAATGCCACTGGGTTATCAAGAAACAGTCCACTGATCACAACTCACATAGTGTTGTTGTCTGGCTGACTCAACAGGTTACTCCCCAAGATATGTGTGCCTGTGCTGAGCAGGGGAATATCTGAGACAAAATAATGTGCTGTTTATTTGCAGTTTATGCGTCATCAAGTGTTCAGTTAGCCATATTTTTCTGACATAGCTGTGAGAGTGATTGTGGACAGTGAAGTTGCCAGTTTGACACACTGCGTTAACACACAACGATCTCTACAGCAGCTGGGTAGACCTGAGATGGCGTGGCCACGCCTGCAGCCTGTCTGCTTGGTGCATGTTGTACTGCGGATTGTGCATGTAACAAATAAAATTTGAAGTTAGGATAACAAACATGTCTTTGGTTGGCTTTTCACATGCTGTGTCACATAAATAGCAAAGAAAACACATGAATTTGCAATATCCAACAAAAAACTCCACTTCTGTGTAAAGTTTGAATGTTCTCCCTCCCATGTCGGGTAATCTGGCATGAATGCTGGGTTAATGGGTGATTCTGAAGACTGGTGATCTGTCCTGGGCATCTTGCTCTTTGTAGGCTCCAGCACCCTCATGACCCTAAATTGGATCACTTAGAAAACTGATGCTTAAATAAAGATTGTCTAAGTGATCATGCATTTTGGTCATTCTTCTTGACAGCCAGTATCCATGCAATATTATGGACAGTTACCTCATCATGCTGAAAGTGTGATCTTGTGTTAGTTTTTGTTTCCTCTGATTTCACTTTACAGATATCATCAGCGTTATCATAGTAAATGGTACTAAGTGGAACCACAAGCCTTATCTTCTCTTGTCCGTGAACTTCTTCTTCCAGGTTCTACATCTAGCCCACAAGCACCAGGGCCCAGTAACAGCAGTGTCCCACCTGGTCCCCAAGGCCTCAGGAAACATTTCCTGAGAGGCAGGCTGGACTGTGACAACCAACCCCCGGACCCTGACCGCCTTTTCCAACGTTGTTTCTTGGCTACGGTTACGTCTGTCAAAGTGGAGGGTCCTGCTTAGCCAGAGTTATTTCTTGGTGTTTCTTGGCCGCCTACCTGTCACCACTCCACTATAGTTTTCTGCATTATAACAATCCAGGCTGAGCTTAAGTTTGATCTCCACATCATTACATTTTGTCATGTTTGATTCAACAGAACACAAATGCAAACATTTCTGTTTGAGCCCTGAGACAAATTATTCCTGTTTTAGAAAAAGAACAAACTGAAAAAGTTTCAGCTGATTAAAAATGTAGCCAAAGATGCAAATGTGATTTTGATGACGTAACTTTTTGCATGTATTACTTTTAGTTTGAAGAGTCACAACTATTATGTGTTGCACTAAAACCCAGAAGTTATTGTTCCACTTAATCAACAGAGACAGCAAAACCTCTGATTGGAAATCATTATTTTGCTACCTGTCCCAAAAGGCGTTATAGTCTGCTTGAAGGAATACAACTAAACAGTACAATTACAGGCTGCTACTTTATGGATAGTTGAATATTTATATGCTGGCAAATCACCAGCAGTGAGTATTCAAAAGAATATATTTACTGAAAAATGCTGATTGCACATTATTTAAAATCCACAGTTTGAAATGGCTTTAGATGGATGAGCTTATTTCTAATACATTTCTTTAAATGATAAGTAACCCCAACATGGACCTTGAGGGGAGAAAACACAAACAAACTCATTGACTCATTTAAATAACGGGGGGTTTGGGGTGGGGGCGAGGGGCGCACTAAGTTTGCCCACATGCTGTGTGTTTGATTTATTTGAGCCATTTCTTCTCATTTAACACAGTGGCTCTAAACTCAGTGAGAAAGGAGACATTCAATAAAGAGAGGGCTTGAACTCTGAGTTAAAATGAACCCGAAGCATGTCACTGCTACCGAATCCTGTCTGCTTTTTTTTTTTTTTTTTTTTTTTACACATTTTAGACATTTTTTTTTATTTGTAAGTCCTTTTAAGCATGTGGCAGGTAACATTACTGGCTTTGTCAATCTCTTAAAATGTTTTTTGTCTTTCACACATGGGTTACTTTTATGCCAATTTCTCTCATGGAATGAATCTATGAATGAATCTAATGGACACATTACACTCATGACCCTGGCTATGAGAGCTAAAGTACATGTGCAATTCTTGCCAAACAGTATGTTCAAAAAACCTGTTGCACTTTTGCCAGTCAGCATTGTGTTTGTTTACTGTAGTGAAGCGTAACCATTACAACCACCACACTTTTGAAAATGTTGTTGTCCCCAGCATTGTCACTAAAGAATGGCCGGGTGCGTATATGTCTGAACAGTGCAGCAGCAATGGCTGCTCCTGCCACTCTCAATCAGGCTTTCATAAAGACAGAGCTCTTTGAAAGAAAAAAATATCATTTTTATTGCAAATGAGAAATTCCATTTTTTGTTTGGCCTTTTTCTCCTTTTTTGTTGAATGATAGTAGACCAAGTTTATTTAAAAATAGGATAAGACAAAGTTAAGTAATAAGAAATCCTAAATAAATGATAAAACAATGGCGACAAGAGAAAGAACCAAAGCGAGATGAAAATGACTGAAGGAAACATACAGACTAAATGCACAAAAAGGAAAGTGACAATAAGACACAGGTGAAGTGAATCAAGACAGCTGAAAGAGACGCAAATAATTTGCACAAAGAAACAAAGTACAGACAAAGAGAACTGCAGGACAACAAAGCGAAGAAAAACTAAGATGTAACAAAAACCAACAACCATGACAGATTAACATTTGTGATTTTAAAGGAAATGTCTACAACACTCCGAAGATCGATCACCAGTATCAGGTCAAATGTTCACTCTGGGGGCTACATTGGTTTGTTTTGTATGCATATATTTAGTGCTATTTAACAAGCCAAACTAAAACAGTTGGTGATCATTATTCTTTCTTAGCAACTACACCTTAGCGTTGTCATTGTGAGCATGTTACAGTAGTATTAGCACCTGTCTCACAACAATGCTGTGCCTTAAATTCAGGCTCACAGAGCTGTTAGCATGGCTGCAGCCTCTTACTTTGTGTTGTACAAGAAACTATAGCCATCCATGCAGACCTGAAATACTGGAGTATAAAGTAGGCACCATGCATGTGGTTGATACTGGCAGTCCAGCTCGAATGGCAGCAGTGTGTCTCTGGCAGCTGCCACTGCACAGCAGAGGAGAGCAAGGGTGTGTTAAAACTGCATTTAAAGCAGTCCAACTGTACATTGTGCTTTGTTCAGCAACCACCAAATGAAAAGAAAGCTACGGATTTTTCTTTTTTTTTATGTGCCTTTATGTTTGCTGTTTTTATTTGTTTTCAATCCAAAACATTTGAATTATGTGATTTGACTTTGTAATTTCAGTGTTTTTGAGTCAGCTGTAGGAATGAAAACTAGGTCTGGCCGCGTTTTAATCCATCAGTGTTGTTGTGCTTTGCTGAGTGTGAAAAGAATCTGGAGGAATTTCAAACCCACTTGTATATCTCCTGTTCACATTATGGAACAGTTTGTGTTTACTTTGCAAAGAAAGAAAGAAAGAAAGAAAAATAAATCAGCTTTATGTTGTAGTTGTGGGTTTTCATGTTAATGCAACTGCTCAGTTTATTTAATAAATGATAGATGTCAGGCTTATTAATGACCTCATTACAATAAATTGTTCTTATTGTTGAAATGTACTTACAGAAAAATGTTTGGCAGCTCAAGTGCCTATTACTGATAAATAAGTTATTAAAGATTATGAAGCTATATGTGTGTGTTTGTATGTGTGTGCATACTGTTTGTTGCTTTTATTACATAACTTTGAACTTACTACACTCTTTTTCAACATACTTTTTTTCAATGCTCATCGTGAATATTTTATAGTTTGAAGCATCGGAGCTGCTGTTGGAGTTTCACTGGTAATTTACACCCTATTATAGGATGTTTTTATGAGTCATTCATATCAAACCACATGTCAGAAGAGAGCCCCGCTCTTTACATTTGCAACAGCACCATCAAGACTCCAAATGTCTTTCCAGCAAACTCTTAGTCCTCTGCAATCCAAGCGCATATTTTAGTAGCAGTTCATGGTTTCAAGTTATACCTAAATGTATGTGTATGAATATGAAATTTGTGCAAAACAGTTCAAATGTAGCCACAAATGTTTTTATTTTTAAAGCAGTCAAACTTGAGCCTCTTCATCCAGGCTTCAATGCAAAAGCCACACTACCATCTTCATCCTCTCTGTGTCTTACAAATACAACAATTCCGGCTCATTAGACCATTTTCACTGGTGTAGTGTTCACCTCATGGTGTTCCTTTTATTTATTTAATTTTATTTTGCCTGATTGCCACAGTCTATTCCAGACAATTAATGTTGATGTGTCTGCTGCTTATCTGCTTATCGACTCTTACCTGGGGTAAATTTAATTGGTGATTTCTGATGCTGGTAACTGAAATGAATTTATCCTCTTATCTACAGCAAAAACGGAAAAAGGGGGAAATTCAGATCTTTCTTTCCTGTAGTGATGTGAGAGCCAGTTTTATCACACTGTTTGATGATTTTTGGAACTACTTTTAAACAAACGTTCTTGAAATGGTTCAGACCTATTTACCTTTTGCTTACTTACCGTCTGATAGTAATCATGGTGCCATGAGTTTGGTGGTCTTACAAGACGGGCTATCATTTAGACTAATTTTCACGACCCACAACATCAATATATAAACATCTTATAGTTAAAATTCATTCTTGTAGGTTAGTCAAATAAGTGAAATCAAACAGGTGGTGAGCTAATCTGAGAGACCGGGACGATGGTAAAGAGCTGCAGCTCAAAGTAGTGAAAGCAAAAACTGAGTGAGCAGGTGTTACAAATCTTTTGAGTGATGCCTTACTTAATGGTAATTTTTAGTTTATATGTTTTAATATAAGGCATTACACAGCTTGTGCTTGTGCTTTGATCTTTTGGAGGCTTCCAGACAGTATGTGATGTTTAGCGGGGATGAAGGTTCAACACTGTCATAAGTGTGCAGTGTAGTTTCACTAGTGGAATGAAAAGTGTTGCACATGGAAGGTGATGCAGCCAAAGAACTGCAGTGAATTTCTTTTGAGATCACAATAATTAAAAGATGTTTCATTTTGAGGCTGTTTAAAAACACTCAGAAAATGAAGTATTTCATTTTGGGTACAGCAGCTTGCCACTGAGGCAATACCCTCTAAGGTACTGCTGCTGTACACTTGACAGGTAGTGCTCATTTGTTCTCTTGTAATTTGAAGCTACCGTACTGAGACCAGTCTGAAGCCTAGTTGGTTTGGAACAGCACTTAGTATGTCAGATCCTTCACTCAGATACATAATTAGCACCAAATGTAGGGAGAGGAAGTAGGTGGCAGATCTGAAATGAGTCATAGTGTACTCTTGTTCCTGAGGCTTACTCCTGCAGGAAGCGCTAGTTTGATCATTTACGCCGACTGCAAAACTACCAAGGGAAAAGGTTTCATATTCACATTCATCTTCAATCTTATTTAAGTAATAGCATTAACCTGAAGTGTACTTAAGGTTCCATAAAAATGATCTTTCTGCTTATTTCTCGAACAGTGTAAAATTTCAGTCCGACGGGGAATTCAAATTAAACCCATCACTGGTTTCATTGTTTCGAAACAGATGAGCCAATTGCAGTGAATGATGACAACAAAATCTCAAGAAGTTGAAAGAGGCCTCTCCATGAAATTATATCGGTCTTGGAAGTGTACAGAGACACAATTTGAACTCACAGCACTTTAAATTTCCAGCCACACGCAGATGGTTAAGTAATACAATGATGATGAAAATAAACAATGAAATGTGAAATTCTGCTTAATCAAAAAGAAAGTAAAGGAAGCAATAACGCAGGACTGAGGAGCTGCTGTATCAGATATAGAATACGGATTCATAAAGACAGTATGGTGTGTGTAGGACTGAATGAACTTACTTTATAGTGCCATGGTGTAATTTGTAAATGACTTGTGGCAGGTCAGCACACTGGATGGATGGATGTGTGGGATGGCACTGCTCTCTGGCATAGCACTTATCCAATAAGTGGGTCTAATGAATTTAAGGAGAGGCATGAGTCATTTTAATAAATGTTCTCCTAGTAACATCACAATGAAACAAACAAAGGAAGAGATTTGGGTTGACAAAATGCTGGGGAGACTATTTTTGTGTTCTGACCAGACAGTCAGTACTGCTCTTTTTCAGTCCTTTCCAGTGCTATAGGTATCCCATCATTACAAATACTTTCCAACAGCAAGTTCTGTTTTGTCCTGATGACCATTCTTTGATTGAGGTTATAAAACGTGTGGCCTTTTAGACATAAGTAGTGACTTTGCTAACTGTTTTTTGTGGGTGTTTTTTATTTTTGAAATAAACTGGAATTAAAAAGCAAACGCAGGGTCCTTTTTTCCTCCAGTTTTTCACAGCTGAGTCAAGCATTGTTACAGACCTAGGGACAACCTCCACCTTCAAGACACCAGCACTCAGCAAACGTTGACCTCTCTAAGCCACACTTGCAAAAACTGCTTAGAAATAGTTTAAGGACCGAAGAACAAGAGGTGTTGACCTTACCTGAGCTCACCAGCAAATTATATGGCGACATTCAACTGCAATCCCAGCAGTTCACTTCAGTGCTATGTCACATAATTCCCTTCTAAACAGCTGGCAAT